TCTCCTGCGCTGGCAGATCTCTGTGGCATTGAGGGGGTGAGGGACAGTGTGTGGTGGTAGAACCAGAGTGGTTGAACTGGAGCTCTCTTTCCCCAGGGTCAGTAAAGTACCTTGAGTGCTCTGCCCTGACACAGCGGGGCTTGAAGACGGTGTTTGATGAAGCCATCCGGGCTGTGCTCTGCCCACCGCCCGTGAAGAAACCTGGCAAAAAGTGCACCGTGTTTTGAGGGCTGTGGCCTCGGTGCTGGCTCAGCATGTTGTCGTCCTCTGACAGATTGCGTATTAGCTGGGTGTTTCTGGAGGGGGCTGGGATGTGTAGGGCCCTTCATCATGTACGAAGTCAGTGTTTTTTAAATGTCTCTTTGATTTAACGTCAGTGTTGATGTGAAGGGGCAGTGGGGGCAGGAGACCAGCTGGGGGCTGTACAGCCCCCAGGGGAGGTACAATGGGGAAGGCAAGGTAGCTCCTTCGGGCAGCAGGCTGTTTTGGCTCTCCTGAACTCTAAGCTGAAAGGCCTGAGACATCTGTCCTGTCCTGGAAACGCCTGTTTTAAACCTGCAGGTGAAACAGGTGGTGAATATCCCGGTGGGAGTGGGGAGGGAGCTGATTTCAATGGTGCTGAGAGACAACAGCAGCTGGGAGGGTGGTAGGGTCTCCTTGCCCAGCCTGCTGTGGCTAACAGTTAACAAACTGGTGCTCTAGCAGAATGTGCCTGAGACTGTTAAAAAAATCATAACCAGCCCTGGAAGGGGTCAAAGTAAAAGAGAAGCTGAAGAACTAATCATTAGGTGCTTTATTGGGTACTAGCCAAACTGTGCATGAAACAGCTCTGTGCAATCAATGCATTTGCCTTTTTGTGTGTGCACACCCTAGGACAGCATGGTGCTGCTCCCCCCCATCAGTCTTTAGCAAGGCCTCCCCCCAAAATCCAGTCTCTGCAGAGCAGGGCTGGGGTTGTTGCCTCTATTTTGTTTTTTTCTACTAAAGACAGCAAAGGAAGCAATGAGAAGTCTGCTAACTTCTTTCCCTTCCCACTGAAAGTGCAGACAGGCTCTATGGTTTTGGATGGAACAGGGAGAGCTTCTGAAGGGTTGTGGGGGGGGAACAGGGTTGGAAGAGAGGTCCAATTTCTAATCATCATGTAGAGTGACAAGATAAAACCTTATTTGGTGCAATAAACATTCTCCATGACGATGTATGTGAGCTTCATTATATAGCAGCCTTCCAAAGGTTATTTTCTGCCTCACTTCTCCTACAGGCTCCAACCCTGCTGCCCCTCCAGCAAGACTATGTCTGTGTCATTGTTTTCTATCCAGTTTACATGTGTGCAGTACCAGTAGGGAAATTAAGGCCGAGGTGAAATGCAGGGGCCATCTTAGGAGACAAGAAAGCCCCCATCAACCATCAGTGAGCTGCCAGTTGTCATAGCACTCTTGCCACTCAGCAGGAAGAGAATGCTGTTCACCACATCATCCACCTCTGCAATCAAACACAGAGAACATCTAATGCACACCTCAAATTGTACCAGAAAAACAAGCATCCAAAGAGGTCTGCCTTGGACCTCTACATGTAATTAGAGCACGGAAGTATTTCTGCTTCCAAACTGTGCTTGATGCAGTGTCCAGGACAGCATAGCTGAGAGCTGGACATTAAAAAGTCCTTGTGATCAAATGATGCTTAGTTCACAGCAAACATCCTGTCAGATTTATGAACAATAGAGTAAGTTCATTTCACTTGTCCCAAGATGAGGAGGCTGTAGAAGAGGGGAAGAGAAGGTTGATTCTCACCCCGTCCTCATCAAATACTTCAGGAGTTCAGCCAGAAGGCATTCAGCAGAGCTGTGACTTTGCCCAAAAAAGCAGCAAAGTAACTCTGGCTGTTACGTGAGAGGGAAGGCTTGAGACAACACGAGAGCCCAGCCTGGGAACAGACCTATCCCACTGACCTGCAAACTTTCCCAGGGGAATCCGACTAATCATGGCAGCAGATTTCTGAGGGTCACTCCAGTTAATTCTCCCCATGTCAGTCATAACCACGGTGGGGTTCACAGTGTTCACCCTAATCTGGGACCAGCAGCAACAAACAATCTAAGCAGGCTCCTCTGAGGAAATGCTCAGGTTCAGCTTTCACACCTTCTCTCACAGACTCCTACCTTGTGGGGTCCCAGTTCCATTGCCATTACCTTGGTCAGCATATCCAAAGCACTTTTTGTGGAACCTTTAAGGGAAGGGAATAATGGGAGGCGTTAAGTGCATAACAAAGCACCTGGTCTGGAACAGACCGGGACATTTCACTGCCCTGAACTGGGAGCTGGCAGCTTGGTGGCTGTGGGTCTCCAGCTGGTCAGAACTGAGAGGGACTGAAGCTGCACATACTTACAGTAAACGGCGTGATCCCTCAGCGCACGCTGCGAGGCCTGGCTGGAGACATTCACAATAGCCCCTGCCACTCCCTGCGCGATCATCTGCCGAGCAACGATCTGGGAGGGGGAAGGAGGGAAAAAAAAGGAGTGCCAGAATCCTAACAAGAAAAATCTATGGTAGCCAAAAGAGCAAAAACATCTGGAGGAAGCAAGTCCTCTCTGCCCCCCGCTTACAGGAGAGTCAAAGTGTGAAGGGTCTGTATGGGCAGGTTGTCAGGCTGACTTTGGATTGCATCCCTTAAGTCCCCACAGTGGACACTTATCTGCGCTATGTACAACAGTCACTGCTATTCATGGAGACAGCTGCAGTGACAATTCTTCCTCACCTGGGAAACGTGAAGCACAGCCCCAAAATTCACATCAAGAGACCTACAAATAAAATAAAATTTAAACGTTACAGAGTGGTTGTAGGCCAGGCCAGACAGCTGTTTTGAGGCAGCAGAGGACAAGTGCTGCTGGTCTCTTGGAAACTCCGGTGATACTCTGACACAGACAGAAATGCTGAGCTGGGCCGAGCCAGGATGCTCAGGAGTGCTCTCGGCAGTGAACAGTCCATCAGCCACGGGCGCGGCACTGCCAGGGGAGGTGCAGTTGTGCACTGGCATGTTTCCCTCAGGACTCTGTCCTTCATCAGCCTAACGGAGTTTCCTCTGACAAAGTTTAAACACTAAGCCCTTGGGCCTCAGCCAGTGGCAACTCTTAGGTCAAGCAAATCTTTCACACAGCTCTAAAGAGCAAATCTGTTGTAAGGTGGGTAGAGGCAGCGTTTCTTCTGTTTGCCATATCGTCTGTCCTTTGTCAGGCCAGTTCTGCAGAATGGTCTTAGCAGAATCCATACCTTTTATGTTTGTCACAAACAAATCCTTTATTGTAGACTCTCAACGGATGTTTTTAACGTAGGGACAAAGCATGACCCATCCTCTCAGAATGATGTGGACTCACCCATAGCCTGTATCCTAAAGCTCACTCCCGGACAAACTATGGAGCTTTTCAGAGAAAAAGATGCCATGTTATTGCAGTAAGCAAATTTAATTTCCCACTGTGACTGTTTTATGCTCCCTTACCTGGCTTTGTCTTCTCTGTTTCTGAATTGTCTTAGTGACAACTGCCTTTCACTTTAACTGGGGCTGAGTTGGAACTAGACTGGAAGCTCTGAGCTTGATGAGCAGCAAAGGCTCTCACCTCCTGTGCCCGTGGGATGGCAGGTGCACCCCACCATTCTGGAGGTGACACTGCAGGTTCTGGCTACTGAGAAACAGGTGTAATACCCAGTGTTTGGTTTCCTTTTGCTGTTTATAGGGAGAAAGTTGATTATGTAAGGAATGAACAGACAGTAAAGAAAAAGGACATATGGAGTAACAATCAACTGACATTTGGCATTTCTAAAAGCGTGCGTGTCAGCCTGTCTGGTGTCTGTGCACCAGCTGCTGTCCTTTCTAGTTGCTTCCCGTCTCAAGACACCCGTTTCTGAAAAGTTCTGCCACCGTTTTTGACGTTCACGGCTGTGGTTCACCTTGGCGGGGCAGACTCGGTCCCAGAGCCTCTGCCGGGGAGGCCGGGGCCGGACACTCACCTCTGCAGGGCCTCCCGCGTCACCTCCAGGAAGGGCTGCAGCTCCGCCACCGCCGCGTTGTTCACCAGCAGCTCGAAGGGCCCCGCCGCGCCCACCGCCGCCTCCGCCGCGTCCCAGTCCGCCAGGTCCAGGCAGAGGGGCTCGATGCCCGGGCACTGCGGCGAGGGCGGCCGCGTGGGTGGGAGGCCGCGGGGGAGCCAGGGGGCCCGGGGGGGGTTGTCCCGGGCGGGACGGGGGGGTGGCCGGTACCTCCCGCACGAGGCTCTCCAGGTCCGCCGCCGTTCGGCTCAGCGCGGTCACGCGGGCCCCGGCCCTGCTCAGCGCCACGGCCACGGCGCGACCGATCCCTGCGGGGACACGGCGTCACAGCCCGGCCCCCGGCCCGGCCCCCGGCCCGGAGCGACCCCCGGCCCGGCCCCCGGCCCCCGGCCCGGAGCGACCCCCGGCCCCGGCCACCTTTGCCGGCCCCAGTGACCAGGGCCCGCCGGCCGCGGAAGCTGGGATGCGGCTCCATGCTGCGAGCGGACTGTGGCCGGGGCGGGCCCGCGGCCGAGGCGGGGCCCGGGAGGGGGCGGCCCGATAGGGCCGGGCCAGGAGCGGGATCCGTCCCCGCTGCCCCGGCAGAACGCGGCACGGAGCCATCTCGGGGCTCACCCAGCGAGAGACAGGCACGCAGAGGTGAACTTTCTTGAGCGTCCACAGCACACCAGGCTTTTTAGCGGCTGATGAAAAAGACCTGCCTCCTCTACCCATTCGAAGTGGCTGATGTAAGATGACAGTAATTAATGTCCTCGTTATCTCAATTTTTGGACTTTGTTAATTATCATTTGGAAGGATTCTTCTCATCCATATTTGCTCTCCCACCCATCCAAATAATTTATCTCCCGTGCTTTTTGGCCATTGGCATGACATGAGCCTGACAGAAGGCTACAGATTCCAGATTAGAGGGTTTATGGTCCATTTTTTGTATAGAAAGCATGTGAAGAAACATGACAAAACAAAGCCTTTGACATATTTAAATATTTATTTTGTAGAATCACTTTATGTATGAAAAAGCAGTTTTATTAAAAAGCTGCATCCTGATAGATCCACACAGCTTACTGTATTCTCAAGACAAGAAACCACAGAAGGAGCCTGAACACACCGAACAGTTCCCTACTGCCTTGCAGGAGAACATGGTCCTTTTTAAGTTCCATAAACACCCTCCCCACTTTGAGGGCACCGCCTCTTTGGCACACCTATTTTAGGTTGACCAGTGACCACAATGTGAAACTTCTACTTAGTTTTGCTGCCATCAATATGAGGTGTAATTTTTTAACTGCAGTTTGCTGTACAACTGCCACCCAGTCCATGCTGCCTGTGTTACCTTACAAGAGGCTGCTTCCAGTGGAAGGGGAAGAAAAGCTCCAACAGAAGAGTTCAGAATCAGTGCCTGAAGACAAAATAGCCTCAAGAGCTCATGAAGTTTCATTTTTCTGCTACAGGAGGTTAAAAACAAGAACCTAACAAGTGTTTTAAAAAAATTATATAGATACCAAGAATCTCCACAGCTTTTAATGACCAATCATTAAACCACAGGGTGCCTCAGTTCCAGTCAGCAGAAGATCTAATAAGGAGGCAGAACCTACTGTTCCTCAAGTCCTCTGTTTTCTGTGCCAGGCACACCTGTAACACTGACAGCCCATTATGGAACAGTCACTGTGCTGACTGGATTTTGAGCCAATTCCCTGCAGCATTCTTATTCCCATACCTCATAGTCACCTTAGGACATATGAGAGAAAGGAAAAATATAAGAAGGAACTACAGGACTGTAACAGAAATCAGCTTGTTTCCTCCTCAGTAGAACTGAGTAGAACATGCAAAGAGGACAAAGTACTGAGGTAAAAGCCAAAAGTTTTGTGTTAAAAAGCAGAATGCAAGAAACAGTATATTTCAGAAGGCTGACACCTTTGCTAAATGGCATCATAGAACACACTGCAGGCATTTGCCAGGAAGTTCAGTAACTAGCTGAAGCCCACGGTACAGCTGAGCACAGCTGTTTAGAAATCTGAAACTTCTGCTAGGTCTGCATTCTAACCAGCAATCATAGTTCCAGATCATACACTGTAATTCCATTATTCTCCCCTTAATTCAGCCTTAGATTCTAGCACTAAACCAGCAAGTATTTTTTTAAGAGTTTGAAAGAATGAACAGTGATTTTGCAAAGTCATTTTTCATGCTGTTCTTCAGGTCAGGTGGGGATTGCACATGGCCAAAGTCTGGGCTAACAGGAAAGTAAACATATGGAGCCCTGTTCCTTGCACTTTCAAAACTGTTTACTTTCTTTAGAAAGCAGCAGCAGATGATACTGCTACAGCACTGAACTTCTGCCTCTGTGTGAATGAGCACATTCATAATGTGCTGCTTTAAGTGACTGGATGAACTATTTATCAAAACATTAAGGAATAAAAATAAGCACTGATCTTGACCTTATGTTAATTGGAAGATTATCTGAAGCAGCTGGATTAACCATGGTCATACAATTAAAGGTCCTCAAATGACACCATCAAGACCTTCCTCAGCACATTGCAGCTATCTAGCATTTCTCCTCTCTCAGACAGCTTCAGAAACAGGGCATGTTTTGGCAGCCCAAGTTGTGCCAGCTCATGCGACCAACTACAGGCAATGTGGCAGAAACGATTACCATCTTGTCTGGCAAATATTTCTTCAGTATCAAACATCAAGGGAATAGTCTCGGACCTGGCAGACCACCATCATAATCATCAGCCACTGCAGTTCAGTTGGCAGGCGAGCCAGGTCTGACAATCACCTCCACAGGAGGTACACATGGACAACAGGGGAGGATGTGCACTGTAAGCAACTCTTATCCAGTCCTGAGTAAGCTCACCCTTACAAAGAGTTTTCTCATTACAAGGGCTTTCAGCCTTGTTTACCTTAGTGATTCCAGGATTTCTGCATCTAAGAACAGACCCTCTTCTGCCCACGGGTGGAGTTTTAATCTAGCAGGCCAAAGAAGCTCTTAAATAATTCTGTTCCCAAAAAAGATGAGTGAAAAATTCCCCTCTCTTGTCACCATGGGGACTACAGACTGCTCTAGCACTCCAGCTTCAAGACAATGGCTTCTAATTTGCCTCAGATGTGCCCAAGCACAGGTTCACATGACATCAGAAGAAAGTGTAAAGTGACTTGTACACACAGCACTGTGGTCATCTTATGAAAAACCACTGGACAAAAGAACAAAGATTCTTCCTGGAATGTTCCACACTGCAGCTGAACAAACCACACCTTATTGCTTTTCTAAATAGTCTGTCTATCTTCTTTGTAGATAACACTGGTTGTCTCCCAGAAGAAGAATAAAACCACCAAAAAAGTCCACCACAACTCCTGCAAACTAGGTAATATACAGGTGTCAGTGGCTGGTCAAGAATTATGACATCTTCTTAGCAGGGCACCAAATAGTGTCAGGATAAAGCAGACAATGGACAGATTTAAACCTATGGGGGGCAAAAAAAAAGACAAGACAGTATTAGATTGGAATTCTCCATACATGGAACGTACTAGCATTGGGTGTGCAGCAGTCTGATGGAGCAGAGAGGGTGGATTTACCCACTTCCAGCACAGCAACAAGAGAAAATAACCCCACTAGTGAGTTTGATCATCTGACAGATGATAAACATGAACAAGGTAGGGAGATCTTGTTTTGGAAGTGGACACTCACCGGGTTGGATCTTGCTGAAGGCCAAACACTCCTCCCACACTCACAACATTGTGTTTGTTCTCAGGGTCCCCGTAACTCAAGGTTACCTGTAAAAACAAATAAATATTTCAAAATGGTAACACTAACACAGAAAACCAGAGTGGAGGTAGCAAGGTTATTAGCGAGGTACCAAGAAAGTCTCCAAGAATGCTGATTATCTGAACATGGATCACATTTGGAGGACAGTTGTTACTTGTGACATAAGCAATGTTGGCACTGAACTGCACTAAAGGCAATGTGGGAGAATACACAGAGGATCTGAAAGTTGCATTGCCCTGAAGGATGAGTTCCCACTGTAAGCTTTGTGAGGACATTAATCCTGCTCCTGTCTGTACCTTCACTAAATAACACATGTTCATCCTCACCAGACATTGCCTGAAGTCTGCAATAGCAATGCTTTAGTATAGAGGGAAAATAGAAAGATTTGCATGTTAAACGGCATGCAAAGGTCTGCCATGTGAAAAACCTGGAACACAATTTAGATCTGTGGAACCTCAGTTCAGTGCTATTCTTCCACACAAGCACTGTATTAAGAAATTTTCAGGTGCTTTCTAATTGGACATTTCTTAGATTTCGGGTTAGCTGTTACCATCTCAGGGAACCAGTGATCACCAATGAAACACAATATTAGGCCTACAGTCCAACTCACTAATATGAAGGAGATTACATCACAGTGGAATTTGGCCCCAAGTGCACATTTCTGCTGCCTAATACAATTGCCAGGAAAATATAACCAAGCAGCTTGCAGGGGCAAAAAAGCACTCCCGTTCTCTCATGGTGCCAAGCAGCATGAGGCAGGCAACGCTGCTGGATGGCCTTGTGGCTCCATCTGCTGCCCAGGAGGAAAAACATCCCAGCAATTATAAAACTACTTGATTTTTCCTAAGAAACATTAATTTTCTTGCGGTTCAGACAAATTATTCTTAAAAATGATCGAACATTTAACTACGTCTTAGCTATTGAAGAAGTACTTCCTATAGCTGCCTTTCTGAACAGCATGAATTAAGACTGAGACTTTGTTAGGCAAAACCAGGAAGACTATTTAGCAAACTAAACATTGCCTCCTTCTACACTTGCTGCTACTGCCACTCACAGAAAGTCAGGGCTTAGAAGGAGATGGGAAATACTCTATTTAGACTCCAGGTAGCATAATGTGTCCCCAAAGGAGGGGACAGCCATATGACCTAGTTGGCTAGGATGAAAGTGTGCTTTTGACCTAAATGAAGGACTTGGGCAGAACACAGCTCTGAGTGAGTCTGTAGACATCCTTCTTTGCTGAAGAGTGCTACATCTATGCAGAGTAGTCTTTCTGATCAGACTGAGGTGTAATTATAAGGATAAGACATGAGGCACAGCCCTACCTGCTGCAACACAGACTCGCCTTGTAGTCTCTGCAGATTTTCCAGGTGGGAATGGAACAACGGGCTGTGCAGCAGCTTTACCTCCAGCAGCCCTTCAATGATGTAGCCAATGGTGCAGTCGTCAGGAAGACGCACCCTTTCCGCAGTACTGATGAAGTTGCCCAGGCTGTGAGACAGAGTGTGGAAGACAAGAGAAAATATGTTTTAAAGCCTCCCAAACATGTATCAATGGAGCTCAGCTAGGAACAGTGCTTGCCTGGCCCAGGGACTCATCTTCAAGGCAAGACCTCTGCTGATACAGAACCCTGCTCCACCTGTGGCAAACCAGAATTTCACGGTTGTCTTCTGAAGAGCAACAAGAAAAAACACACAGTAATTAATGATAATCAGCTTTTCCCATTTGGCTGGGCAGGGAAGGGAACTTGACATTCTATTGGATATCACATACTGCACTTGGCAAAACAAGGCTACAGATGAATCCCTATTTGTTTAGGCTGCTGAAAGCCTAGGTAGCTGTTCTCTCAAATGAAACTCTATCTTGGAACAGACAGCAGATGAACCATCAAATTAGCATACTGCAGGTAGCACACATGAAATGGAAAACTATAGTCCCACTCCTACCCAATTCCATCTGTCTCCTGGTCATTCTAGCCAAGGGTCACAGCCAGTTCAGTGCTCCTGAGGGTATCAAAGGTGGTCAATTATACACTTGGCTGCACGTCCAAGTAGACTATTTTGTTGTGCAGTCTTCCCTAACAAACTATTTTATAACTGAATTTCTGGCTAGTGGATTGATTTATCTTTAGACCTGTCAGTACAGGTGGCCTGCTTAGGACTTGTCCTTTAGCATGTATATCTTGTGATTGAGATATGTTTGCTTCCAGTTCTTGGAAACCTACTAACCACTTGGAACTAGAAATGCTTTATTTATCTAGAAAGCCTTTGTCAACATCGGAGCAAAGGTTCCTTTAACCCAGCACCCTGCCTCTGAAAATGACCAGTGCCAGGTTCACTTCTTGCAGATTAAATCACTCGGGTTTATGGGGGAATCCTATGAACTGTCAAGGTTTTAAAGGCTTAGAAAGTCAGGATGTCTCTCAGACAAACTGTAAAGTTTGCTTACTGATCCATCACTTTGGACATGATCAGCTGCTTCGATGGGATGGTCTAGACTCGGTCGCCCCACATAGACATCCTGGCTGTGTGAGAAGGCAGACAGGAGATGCAGGAGAGTCCGAGGGTTCACATAGTTGTCATCGTCCACATGGCAAAACCATCTTCACGTGAAACAGAACAAGAAGTTACAGGGACAAAGAAATGAGCTATAGGTTTACAACTGAGACTTAGTCTTTCAGGCTTTGGAGCAGGAAGTATTTCTTATTGCCCTAAATTACGGATTTGAAAAGCTGAAAGCACCCACAGATGCTAATTCTGTAAAGAGGCTGAAAAGATCATAATCTTTTCCACCTTCCAAATGATGCTTGTTTAAAAGCAATGCTTCATGCTGTGCTCCCTTCCATGCACTCATCCCCACATTTTAGCTAAGACTGCATTCCTTACTGGAGCAGAGATGGTTACTCAAGTTTCCTGTGAACACAGAACTGGAAGAAACAAAGTCAATCACAACAATGTGTTTCACCTACTTTTGCCCAGATTCCAGGAATTTATCATATTCCACAGACATCTTGCAGCAGAGGGCTTGCCGAGTATGGACAGCAGAACAGTTGGTGTTGATCATATGATCCCCTGGAAAAATAAAGACCAGCCCTTTCAGGTTTGCGAAATATGTGTCGTCCAAAAAGGACTACAAAAGAAGTGCACATTTGGCACTAATCCTGTACATCTGAGGTGCATATGGTGCATACGTGGAGAGCAAACTGCAGGACAGGCAGGGCTCACAGGTTATGCATCTGGCATGCAAGCTGCAGAGGTCATAAAATTGTGTGAGTGCACAAAAATGAGGGTATATACACAGTGCCATGAGACTGTGTACAAAGGAAATACCTAGTATAACTCTGGACCACGTAGACTTAAGCTTACTAACAAGAAGAAAGTGGATGCAAAGGTGAACCCAGTATTCAGGAAGTTCCAGGCATCCTGTTCAGGTGGCAAGCAGGGAGAAGTTTTCTCCATCTTAACTTCCCTAACTGCTTGTACAGCATGAAATAAGAACTTCTAGGAAAAGTATGAAAGAAACAAAACTCACAACAGATAGCATGCACCTAGGCTACACAGCTCACCTGCTTTCAGGCGTAGCTCCTGATCCTCCCAGTCTGTGAATATAAATGTCTGTGGGAGACAAAAATGGTGTGTCTACATTTGAGAACTTCAGCAACTAATTTAAAGCTTGTTCAGTTGCAGTCAGAATTCGGAATGTTATGTCTGTTTTGGCTTGTTTCACAGTAGCCACTGGACTGGGGGGAGAGAGCTCCAGCAACTTCAACCCCTACCTTATTTGTTAAGTTTTTTCATTGCAAGCCAGAAAATTGTCATTTCAATACAAATACATCCTATAACTTACTCTTCTAGTCTCAGGGCAAAGATAACTAATTTCCAGAAAGAAATGACTTTGATCTTTTTTAGTAGTACCTCCTCTCTCTGGCTGGGAGTCACCCACAGCTATCAAATAGATTAAAAGGAAAGAATGCAAGTCAGGGTGGGAAGTGGCAGGTGGCAACACTGTCCTGTCCCACCTGCTAGACAAAACTGCCTTACTATGCTTGAATAGACTGAAACTCTGAAACAAGGGAACTACTTTTATGTTGTTCCACAGTAACACGTAAGCAGCTGAACTTTTTGGTCCAAAATAGTGGTTTAGATGCATCAGCACTAGGGTTCTTTCACTCTTGAGTAGCCTTTTTCACAGTCATACACAAATCAGCAAATTACATCTGCTTGGACCATCGATGCCAGACTGCAGCTAAGTAGCTTAATCAACAACGCCTCTTTAGAGGAGGAATCGCTTAGACGACGTTCCTCAGTCCTAAAAGGAAATCTGCTTTTAACGCAGGCTTTTTAACACCCGGTGAAAAAGTGCAGCAGCCGCCCTGGCACACGCAGGGTCGGAGCTCCCGTCCCCGCCCGCCGCGAGGCCTCACCTGTCCCCGCGCCTGGGAGATCCAGGTTTGGAGGAGCAAGTCCAGCCGGCTCTTGTGGTACTTCCTCGTGGTCTTCACCGCGATGAAGATATCCTTCAGCTCCAGCGCCTCCCTGGCGGGGCCCGCGGCAGCGCCGGGGCGGCCCCTGCGCGCAGGCTGCGGGCTGCCCACGAGGCCTCGGCCACGGCCGCCCGCGCCGGGCCCGCT